GAAATAGACTTACAGAACCACCCTTCCCGCGGAGACCAGGAAAGCAGAAGAGACAGCTCGGAGCACGCTCGCCAAATTTATAGGCAGACATTAGCCCGAGGTGAACATGCCCCTTAAGGGGCGGGACTTATCCCTACAAAGAGTTGCTGTTTTTTTTTTTTTTTCTGAGACAGGGTTTCTCTGTAGATTTGGTGCCTGTCCTGGAACTAGCTCTCATAGACCAGGCTGGCCTCAAACTCACAGAGATCCGCCTACCTCTGCCTCCCATGTGCTGGGATTAAAGGCATGCGCCATCACTGCCCTGCGAGTTGCTGTTTTAATGTGACCTAGGATTGGCTTCAGAATATCTGAGCTATGAGGGAAAGGATTGATTACACTGGTCAGTGACTCTACAATGGAACACACATGCTAGGGATGCCATATTTTGGAAGGGGAACAGGAAGTGCTCTGAGAGACTGGAAGAGTTTCTACTAAAATACCAATTTTCCAGACTAGAGCCCTGTCTTCCCCTAGGGTGGAAAGGCAGAGCTGGGAAGGGCTGTGCTGGCTTAGTCATTTGATTTCTACTTATCTAGTAAGGGAACAGCTACTGCCTTGAGGCTCAGTTGGGCAATTCTAGCTATTGAGGGCCTCTGGGCAAGCCTAGCAATCAGGAACACCAGTGGGAGTATATTGTGATCCATGAGGGAGCCAATAGGGAGCCATGCGAGTTGTTAGTTTTCCTAAATTGTATAGTTGATTTCTACCTCCAGATCTTATCCCACCTTCCTATGAAGAGGTAACACTAACTACCATTATGGCATTGGGGCAACGACTGTTCTGGTTTGTTTCAGCTGAATTTGGGGCAGCAGGTGGTAGTATTAAGATACCCTTCCATAGAGCCTCTTGTAAAGACCAAAGTCTCAAATGTAGACATAGTTGTCTGGGAAGATGTAATATTGTCTGGGAAGCAATAACATATCCAAAGTCCATAAGACATTCTTGATGAACTCACAATAGCTTCCATCTGTTTAGAGGTTTCCATTTAACTTCTACATTTGGTCTCTAGAGTGATGAGCCCACAAGCAACTGTCACAACCTTTTACACCTGTTTCATCAGCCAAAAGTCAGCATGATGCCCTTCCCATGTGACTTCTGGATAGGGAGAGGAGAGGTATTTAGCATCATTTAATTTGGAGGTTAAAACAACCGTGGGCCTGTCCTTCGCTGTGTGCAGGTATTCAAGTAGCTAATGTCTGATGTCTCACATCTGCACTGAATCTTTTTTATCAAGAAAATACTACTGATGGGCCTGGAGAGATGGCTCAGTGGTTAAGAGCACTGCCTGTTCTTCCAGAGGTCCTGAATTCAATTCCCAGCAACCACATGGTGGATCCAAACCATCTGTATTAAGATATGGTGCCCTTCTCTGGCATGTGGGTATACATGGAGGCAGAAACTTGTATACATAATAAATAAATCTAAAAAAAGAGAAAATATTTCTGAGATTTGCTATCTAACTAACATCTCATGTAGACTTACATCTAATGTCTGTGGAGTGTGAACCGTTGTGTTGTTAGCAATCCTCTTATCCTTTCATTAAAATTTCTTCTTGAGTACTGAAGGCCAATGCAGGTGTCAAAAATTAATCTTTCTTTCTGTGTTGTCAATGCCAGTTGAGCATCTAGTCTTTAGAGGTCACTTGTGCTTGGTAGGAACCTCAGATTTTTCATGTCTCTCTGTTATCAGTTGTCCATCAATGTGAGGATAAGTCAAAAGCTTTGCTTTATGTACTGTGGCTTCCTTTGAAGCCTTGAAGAAATCTTTCCCACATTGATCCTCCTTTTGTACACTTGATAATGATTCCAATTCATCGATTGGGTTCTCCATGGCCTCCATGAACAGGACAATAAATGATCAATAGATAGCCTTTGTTCCTATGGACCTCACTGATCTTGTACAGAAATGAGAGAAATATTCCCCCTTTTGGTCCCTGTAATGACCTTAGAATAGCTTCTAAGAATGATTATTAAACACCTAGAAGATCAGTTTTAAACTAGTTTTGTACTTTTAACTACTTTATAATACTTCAAGAGACAGACACAACTCAATAAACCTTCTTTGGCACACCTTTCAACCACTCCTTGAAATAGTTGGAATCTGACCTTGCAAACTTTAATAAATAAATGATTCCTAAGTCTCATCCTTATGTACCTTAATCAACTTACTCAGACCTTCATAGCTTGTAAAACCTTTCCAGTCTTCTTTATCCCAGAGCTATCTAGTCATAATCATGTTCATAATCTAAGTCCTTTTTTACTATGGTCATTTACATATTTATATTCTTCTAACATGTTCTTTTATGGAGTGCTTTCTTTTTGCTAATATCATAATAAGTAGGAAAATTAACAAGTATATTTATGATCTGTTGTGAGAATTTTCTCCCCCATGGAAGGGGCAGAAGCAATTTCTATCCCATAACCCATAATTCCCAATGAAGATACAAACTACAATTTCACCAAAGTCCATCCTGGGGAAACAACCAGTGAGTTTACTGAGCTTACTTACTGAGCATGGTTGAAAAGGTACATACAAGGGTTTTGATTCTGTGGTTGGCTGAATCAAAATGACCCCCAAAGTCCCATGGAGAGGCACTATTAGGAGGTGTGGCCTTGTTGAACTATGTCATAATCACTTTCTGCTGCCTGCTGATCTGGATGTAGAACACTCAGCTCTTTCTCCAGCACCATTTCTGCTTACATCCACCATACTTTCCGCCATGATGATAATGGACTAAATCCTCTGAAACTGTAAGCTAGCCTCAATCAAATGTTTTCCTTTATAAGTGTTGCTGTGGTCATGGTGTCTCTACACAGCAATAGAAGCTCTAACTAAGATACCCAAAAGCAGTCACACAGGCACTTCTCCATCCAGTATATACAATGGCTCTCCAATAGCTGCATATGTGGAGCTTACCTTCTCTCTACACTTCCACTGCCCATATATTCTCCCTTACACTACATTTCTCAGTGAACATATGAAGTAAGCCTGATAGCACTCAAGGTAAATTCCCACTTTCAAAGATGGCTTTCTCATAGGTGAATGCACAAAATGTACACCCTCCCAAGTCTTTCCCAGGCTATGTACTCTAGTTCATCCCTAAAACCAGAAGGGCACATGTCATTAGGGATGAATTGCATATAGTTGCCTGGAAAAGAGGCTGTGTACTCAGATGGAGGGGATACTTTCTTCCACGATGGAATATTAACAATCAGTGAACCCGGTGGTGGTCATCCTTTGTAAGCAGTCACAGGTGACCATAGGAAGGTACCAATTGTTTGTCTTCAGATAGTGCTGAGTAACAACAAAAGAAAACTGAATAGAAACTGTATATGATAATGTAATAAATTAGTATTTCCTAGGTATAAACTGTTCAACTAAACCTTAGATAAAACACAATACATTATTCATATGATACATGGCATTACTACTGAAAGACCCCCAGTGGTGGGGAGACTCTCACTCAAGTCTTGGGATAACATGACCCCCACCCCAGTAACTCATGAGGGACCATCCTTGCTGCAATCACAGGAGGCTTTAATCGAGGAGATGGGAACCAGTGCACTGGAGCTGAGACTCATAACCAATGCAGGGGAAGAGTTTGACCCTGAGTGACTGGGAGAAGAAGTTTTTAAGGGAAGAAACCACAGCCCAGTAATCCAAAATGGTCAGAGAAAATTTTGAAAGACCAGTGATGGTTACAAGGGGGCAACTCCCTGCCTCTCAAGATCACTCTCAAGATTACAATCTAACTTTATCTTCAGCTAGTTCCTGAAACATAGTCACTGAACTGGCTAATCCTAGATTCCTGATTCTTCTCTTCCTGTTTAGATTTTTGGCTATTTTCTCCCTGCTGGGAGGGTCTGGATTTATCTAGGTATTTCACTACTATAACCATGCTTTTGGGTTTTAATGTATGTAGTTGATATCAAGAAACAGCAAATACATAACAAAATATCATGGAATTGATCCAGTCCAGCACAATTAAGAAATCCCTCTTAAAACTGTGATGCTCCAGCTTACTCTAGATAGTTACACAGGCAGACTCTCTATCCTTTCTATGGGTGAGCATCTCATTTGCTTTTTTCACTACAGACATGTATACACAAAAGTTAAATAAACATTTACATCTTTGGATCAAAATCTCTAATAGTCCTGATTAACATTCTACTTGTCTTTGGGTGTATTTCAGAGCCAGCCCTCCCTCAGCTAAATTCTATATTGTGTGGCTTACTCTCTAAGGATTGGTCAATCCTTTATATCACCAATTCTAGTCTTCTACATTGTGACTGAGTAGTGGAGTACTACACAGTACATGAGACCCCATTTACAACTTCCACAAATTAACTCCAAATGGGCCTTACACCTAAATGTCAAGTGCTAAGTGCAGAACTTCTAGAAAATACTTGAAACTAGGCCTCTCTGACTTTGGCAACCTGCCTAGGCTTTGGGAGGTTTCTCTAAGGCAATGATGTATAGAGCAACAACAGAGCTCTGTTTCTAATCTCAGGAATATGCTTGGGAGAGCTGGTAAAGATGTGGGGCCAAGGCCTTTGGAAAAGGGTTGTTTCAGATCCTCAGAACCAAAGACTTCACAGAAGGGTGAAAGCTGTGGTTATCAGTTCCAACACCACTGTGAACTTTGTTTATAATATTCTTTGTTTTACCCAATGTTCTTCTGGTGCAACATTGTCTGATTGTATACTTCCTTTTAAAACCAAACCCATTGATTTACCTTTGCATGAGACTTGCTGTTGAACTTGACTTAGATCTCCAGCCAATCTGGGATTTGTCTTTCTGTAGATTAGCAGCTAGTGCTGGGAATGCTGTGCTGAGTCCCTTCTGCTCACCTGGTTCTGTCACTCAGACCTCACTAGCCAATCAGATCCTCCACCAGTCAAATGGGAGGCTTCTTCCGGGAGCCAGGCTTCCGGTTTAGTGCTTCCTGAAGAAATCACAGTCTCATGCACTGTGCCTTGTGATCCCGTGTGGGGATAAAGTTTGTCAGCTAGGCAGCTGCACTATGGTGAGTGAGTGGTTGCTCTCCAGAATGGGAGGAGAGGTGGGCCAAGGAGAGTAAGGGGCCAAAGTGCCCAGGTTGGGAGGATATGCCAGCCTTGGAGCACCTGGCTGCTCTTCCCATGTGCGGAGGAGTGGCTGGGCTTGGCGGGTGAGGGGCTGCTGTCCCCAATCTAGGTGGAGTGGCCTGCTGAGGCTTGTGACCAATGTGGTAAATTTTTCCCTGGCTGGGTGGGAGCCAGTGGACAAACAGAGTTTAGTGTATTCCTGTCTCATCCTAAGTAGTCCTAAGTGATCCTTGCAACTCACTGCCTGGGTTGTGTGTGCACAGAGCAGAGCTTTGGGAGCTGCAAATAGTGGGGCCTGTAGTGCTTATGTTGTCACATGTGGAGAGATATCACCAAATTTTCCAAACTCGGAGCCTACTGGTGTCTCCAGTATCTTCAGAAGTTCTGCACTTTTATTTAGCATTTAGGTTTAGGATCCATCTGTAGTTAATTTTGTGGAGCTCGTAAATGGTTTCTCCTTTGTAGAGTATCACTCCACTGCTAAACTGTGAAGAAGGAGAGCATAATCGATAATAATAAGTGTTCAAATTTTTTTTTTATTTTTTTAAGAAGTCAATTAATGGTTGTCATATTTTAGATTTCATTTTCTTCAAAGTCATAACTGCCATAATCTTTGTTTGTATTTTCTAATGTTTCCCAGGTTTTGAATTTTATTTTATTTTTAAGAGCTGTTTATTTATTCTTTTTTTATTTATATCAGATTAGATCAGTGATTCTCAACTTAGTGGGTCATGACTCATTTTGGTGGATCAAATGAACCTATCACAGGACAGGCCTAAGACCATCAAAAAGTACAGATATTTATATTATAATTCATAACAGCAAAATATACTTATGAAGTAGTAGTGAAAATCGTTTTATATGTGGGGAGATCACTGCATCATGAGTAACTGTATTAAAGAGGCAAGCACTAGGAAGATTGAGAAAACTGGTTTAGATTAATGTCTCCTATAGCTCAGGATTGCATCATACTATGTAAGTGAGAATTGCTGTGAACACCTAATCCTGCCTCTGCTACATAGTGCTGCAAAAACAGTCCTGGAACTCCTATCATGCTGGATCTTGACTGGACTATGTGAAGGAGAAATAGATCAGTGAATGAGTATCCTCCAACTTCTCTAGATTTTATTGTGAATTTACAAGTGAAGTGGGACCTGTGTAAGAATTGAGTTCACTGGTCAACTATAAAGCCAGTGTAGTCACAACAGACAAAGGATGGGCAAGAAGGAGGACAAAAGCTTTCCTGCTGTGACAGTAGTTGACATTAACAGTGAGTAGTGAGGTAATCAATTTAAAATGTTCTATAAATGTGCTGACTTGCCATTCCATGGGTCCACAGACCATGCATACAGGAATTTATATAAAGAGCTTAACTTATCATTAAACCAAATTACTGTAGTTACAGTAGTTCAAGTAAAATAGAAGAGCTGCATAAAATGGTGTGGCCCTGTCTACCATAATTTATTTTCCAGGTTAAAATGTACACTTTGAGAGAAATGATGTGAGTAGTACTTGGTGTGCTCTAGTACAAATCCCTGGTCTTTGGAGCACACGATCATAAAATCTGTTTCAACTTTTTAACAAAATTTTTCAGGATTATAAATACATTATATCCACTATCTCTTTCTTGCCTCTAAGCCCTCCCATAGACCCTTTGTTGTGTTCTAATTCTCATGGCTTCTTTTTGTTTAACAACAATTACTGTTTTTGACCTGTGTTTGTTTGCAAGACCTCCCAGCTATGAAGTAAGGGGTTGGCTACTCTGGACCTTGAGTGTGTAATGGAAAGTGTACACATAGGACCATGTGCCTTGGAGGAGGAACAGGAAGTGCTCTGGGAAAATGGAAGATTTTACTAAATCACAAAATTTCCAGATTAGGATCTTGTCTGACCATAGTGTGGAAGGACAAACCTGGAGGATTTTTGCTTTCTAAGACATTTGATTTCTGCTCACCCCCCCCCCCCCCAGTTACCCAGTAGGGTAACTGCCAATGCCTTGAAGCCCAGCTGGGTGGGCCTAGCTAATGAGGGACTCTGGTTGACAATTAGGAGCACCAGTAGGAGATAGTTTACAGGTTCTTTCCAGTATTGTATCCATATTCTCTTTCCTGTTCCTAAACCTTACCACATTCCAATCCCTCAGTGTCTTCTAATTCATGGCCCACTTTTCATTAAAGCAGTTGTAAATGTGACCTGTGTTTTGCTGCAAGATTTCCCAGGTATGAGGCGATAGGTTGACTGCAGTGCACTTTGATAGTGTAATAGGATGTGCACACAAAGGGACCCTGTGCTTTGGATGAGGAACAGGATATACTCTTTGAAAGTCGAGGATTATCTAATAAAATACTAACTTTCTATCTAGGGCCCTGTCCACTGGGCTGGAAGGACAGAAGAGGAAGTACTGTGCTATCTGAGTCATTTGATCTTTGATCACCCAGTAGTTGAGCTGACATTATTCTAAGGCCAAGTTGGGTGGCCCTAGCCAAGGAGGGGTTCTGGAAAGTCTTAGCAATCAGGAACAATAGTGACAGGTAGCTTGCAGATTCTTTTCAGGATTCTTTTCTCCTTTTATTGTAGTGAGTTTTTTTTAAACTATACTGTTTTTTTTAATGATTTATTTATTTTTATTGTGCATACAAAATTCTACCTCTATGTATGCCCACACGTCAAAAGAGGGCACCAGATCTCATTACAGATGGTTGTGAGCCACCATGTGGTTGCTGGGAATTGAACTCAGGACCTCTGGAAAAGCAGTCAGTGCTCTTAACCACTGAGACATCTCTCCAGCCCTAGGAATACCACAAGCTATGCCATGGTGAGTGTAGGGTGTTCAGAGAAGGTCTGTTGAACTGTCATTTCTGCTGGGATTTGGATGGACCATGAGCCAGGCTGTGGTTTTGTTGCCCTATGTAATGACCTGGGCAGTGGTCTTTGTCATCTGTGCCTCCCTGTATATGGATTTCATGGGAAGAGTGACACTCTGCAGCCCTGGCATGGTAGAATATTATACTTGTAATATCACTGTCCAGTGTCCACACAGAGTCATGCTTTTAGTGTGCAGTGGGAAGACAGATTTGAAAACTGATAGTCTTATTTCTAGAAGTTCTGAATATTACATTCTACTTTCAAGTTTGTCTTATAAATGTTTTAAATAATTTAAAAGCTGGTAGAACTATGGTGATGTTGATTGTCTTTTAGCAATACATGATTAGAATGCTTCTAACTTGTCTGCTACCACTAGCCACAATGATGTCATTCAGTGATATTTAGTTCCAGGTGACAAAAAGAGTTTCTGAGCTGCAGAGGTTTCTTAGGTGTGTATGGTGTTGAGCAGGTAGATAGGGCAGAATCTGTATCTTGTGCTATAATCCATGTGACAGGAAGCAGAAATTATTCTATATTGCTTTGGTATTGGGCATCAGTGGGGCTGGGTTTACCTGAAAACAAGACCAAATCAACAAGACCAAAGGGGCTGCAGAGCAGGAGGTCATCTCTTTTTACAGAGAGGGTTCTAGAGCATGGGGCCTCTCTGTTTGGAAGAAATACCAGTAGCTGTAGGGTCAGAAACAACAGTTTAATGGTCACTTTGAGGTAATTTTGTGAATGTTGTGAAGTCTTTATTTATTTAATTTCTCTACACATAGGTAGCTGGCTAACATTGTTCAAGGTCACATGTTTTCTGACTAAGTTTCCTTTGATCTTTTGATTAATAGTTAATGATATTTTCCTGACTATGTTCTTGTCTTTTTCTCTCTATGATCTTTATTCTTTCTCAAATATTGTACACATTCTTGAGTGTTGTAGCTTTGTGGTAATTTTTTTCTCCCAAGACAGGGTTTCTCTGTAGCTTTGGAGCCTGTCCTGGAACTTGCTCTGTAGATCATCTGACTTGGAACTCACAGAGATCCACGTTTATCTGCTGCCTGAGTGCTGAGATTAAAGTGTGCATCACCACAACCCAGCAAGAAGTCATATTATGTCAATCTGTGTACTATTTTTTCATAATCTCACTGATTACTCTGGGTGTTTCCACTATGAGTATAGCTTTGTAATCAGTTTTCCTGTTATAAATTGTTGGGCATTATCATTGTAATGTATTCATTTATGATGCAAATTTACCATACACACCGCTGCATCATGTTTCCAAGTGTCATTTATTTACTTCTTTATTTATTTTGGTTTTGTTGCTGTTATTGTTAATCTGAGAGACTTTTGGTTTATTTGATAAAAGGCATTATGGTTGTTGGCAGATGGCTCATCACATATTCATTTTGGAGATGACCTATGTTCAGATACCTAACTCAAGTTGTTAGGCTCATAACTCTACGATTTCAGATCCAAAGCCACCTGAACTCTTCTTTTTGTATGTCACCTGCATACATATGGAAGATATTCTAATTCATGTACAAATATATACAAAAAATAACAATAAACTTGTTTTCAAAAGTACTTTGACTTATAAAGCAATTAGAGTAACACAAGTTGCTTTAGGTGTACACTGATCCTTTAAAAAATCTGTTATCTTGCATTTTGTTTAAAAATGTTTTCATTTCCTCACTCTGCAGACTTACAGGCAATTATCAATCATGGGAAACAAATGGTGTCTAAGTGACCCTAGGAAACATCCTATTCTTTACTATAAGATAATGAGATCCTTTTAGTAGTCAAACTATTTTCTATGAAGTTAAGACATGAGAAGGTTTCAAGTGAATCTCTCCAATTTTGGTGGAACATCCCTACTCACCCAAGCCATTTTCTGTTATTGTTAAAGGAGAGAGAACTGAAGTCTATAGGATGAGTGCTGGTCAGTGATTTTTTAGAGTTCGATTTTGGTTAAAATCTTGTAGTGTTTATTTAAGAAAGCATAATATGTCTTTGTGTCTTTGTCATCTGTGTTATTGATTTTATTAATTTAAGAATATTGTTCATTTTCTGGGAA